TTTTTGGTTAATGCTTTTAACTCGCTGTGTAATAAGGCCATTGTTCAAGTTCTCTATGAAACAATCCGTAGACTATAATGAAAGGGCAGAGATACCACAATGCAACAGACCCCCACGGGGACGATATTTCGTATCACCTAGGAACATCGTCGTCCGATGACAAGAATCGGAATCCAGACATAAAAGTCGTCCGAGCTGCGCCACCAACGGCATAGAACATCATCAGACGAAATCATCTTGACACAACAAAAAGCGCCACTCTCATCATTTTAAACGGTACGGAGTACATAAGTTACTCTTCGTGACATTCATTCACATCTGGAAGCCATGGCCACAATCTCCATCCCAGCTAGTTTCTATTTCAAGAAAGGTGCTGACCCCAACAACACCTGGGCACAAATCAACATCTGTACCACTCACCTCAAGAACACAATCCTCGTGGCACCAACATTTGACGCCCGCGAGACTGCGATGGGTGTGCTCCAGTCATGGCAATCTACGATATCGCTCTGTGAGACCTTTCAATTAAGGCACTATAGCATCCCCGTGCAGGGCGGCGCCATCGAGGAGCTGAACTATTTCTTCCTGGGCAAGAAGGGTGGCTGGAGGCCTGAATGGAATGACGGATTGCAAGGGCAACTTCGAATTGCCTCCAGTATGCTTTTCCACATATCCGCTTTGTTGTCTGCTGGATGGCCACAGGATAAGATGCTCGAGCTGCGAGAAGCGGTCCGTCAGTGGCAGTTGCAGCTTAAATCTATCGACCGCAAGCGGCTATCCTACCACAAGGCTGTCCAAGAGGCGGATATGGCCAGATGTGAAGGGTCCCGTCTACTCAATGAAAACCCAGATACCCCATTGGAAGCCTACGAAGAGAATGCTAAGGCCCATGCCCCGAAAGATGATTACGGCGCAGTGAGTGGTCTCGGCAGAGTCGAGGAAGACTTACAGAATTTGTTTTTTTGGGACAGTAAAATGGTGTTGGATTGGCAGGGTCGTGAATAGGTCATGGATTGGTCTGTCTGCCTGTGCCTGCCCTCAGGCCAGGTCTGATCGTCTATATA